ATCTCCACGTACGTGACAAGTGCATCTGTCCTGGGCAGGCAGGCAGCTGCTCTAAAGGAAAGCAGATGAGCTTTCCTCATCACAAGCTTTTCCTCATCAAGCTTTTTCTAAATTGCTCCCTGCATGGAGCAATTCTCCAACAATATTAAATACAGCAGAAAGGATGAGTCAAGCAGATCTTGTCAAGGCTGACCTATTTTTTTCTCTTTTTGGTTTTGTTATAAATTGAATCCACCGTGTCACAGGGCACAGTGCTGTTCTCAGCACGACTGGTGGCAAAAAGTAGCTACCCAGGAATTATATGTATTGTGTGGTAGCTGGGAGAACCTCTTGTTCCCAGCATCTCTGACCTATCTGTGACTTGTCATGAAATTGTGGAACTTAAGTAATGGATGATTAGGCTGTGAGAAAATAATTTTAGCCACTGGTTAGCTGAGTTTACTTGTGTGTGTGTCTCATTGTCTTCAGAAGCTGGTGAGGTAATAAATTTAGTAAGATGAAGTGTCCAGCTTAGGTTCTTAAATGGGAAGCAAGGCAACCTGGTGTTGCAATGAATGGTGATGCTTTCCTGAGGGAATAATGGGTGGTACTGTCCAGACATAAACCAGTCCTGAGGTATTAGAAGGCAGGTTGAGTCCTGTGCAGGCAGTCTGGGATTCCCACACCTCTGGGTGTGGGAAGTGTCTGGTATTGTTTTGGATAAGACATGAGGTCAGGTGGCCTTGGACTTGACCTCCTGACATGGAGGCATCAGCAACACTCTGCCCAGCCTGGGGCTCTGCACAGCTTTCTGTTGTGACAGCACATCTCCCATTTGCTCAGCTTTGCTTAGCTCATATCAAGATAAGTCTTGACATTGTTTAACACAGGTTTGCACCCAAACCACGGACAACAGTTTAACGGTTACTGTAGCTTTAGATGTTGCCAAACTTGCAGGCGGTGAGAGAGCTGTATTGGAACGTGGAGGGTCTTTAAAACACCAGCCTGGGTCTTAAAAAATGATTTGGGATGCTGGTGAGTAGTTGCCCCACTAGTTACTTGTCTTGCAAACTTCAGTTGTCCAATGAATGAATCAAGTTTTATTTGAATTAATCTTGAAGTAAAGGATGCTTGAAGAAGCAAAACAGCTTGGCAGTTTGTGCTGCAGTGAGCTCGCTGCAACCTGGAGTTACTCTTTCCCACACATCCCCCACCCTGCCAGTGCTCAGGTCTTGGCTTCCACCTCTGGATTGGTGCAGTGGTCCCAGCCCCAACCTGGACTTCACGGGGTGGGAGTGAGGAGCACAGATGGGCCCTGCTGGGCAAGACAGGAAGGACCTGGAGATGACTGTGCACCTCTGGATGCATGTTGAGGGATGTGAGGAGGCAGCCTGTGTCCCTGTCCCTGCACAGTTGTCTTGCCCAGACAATGCTGAGTAAAGTGGGCAGGACACCCTCCTTAGGGGGTGGCTTAATTACAGCCAGACAAAGCCTTGGTGATCACAGCCTCCAGTAAAGCTTCTGACGTCTGTGGTTGCTCATCCCAGTGGAGTGGGACCACACAGGGCACTGTCTTCACAGCTCTCTTGTGCTGGGTGAAATCGTGTTGGGGGGGACAAGAAAATAGCCCAGTGTCCCAGCATGAATCAGCCATCCATTTATATACAGCTCCTGCTTCTCCAGTGGTGCCAGGCAGTCCTGCACAGTGATGGGCTGCACAGATAGAGCAGTGACTCTCCTCTTGTGACAGGAGGGTTTATGCCAGGCAGTTGTGGCTGGCTACTGTTGGTGACAGGAGAACAAGATTGGGACTGAAGAGCTTCCCTACTCTCTGGGCATTCAGGGCTGAAGATCTGATTGCTAGGTCATGACTGTTCAAATGTTTTGGGTTGGAGGTTCAGCCTATATCCCTAGGAGTTGAGGAGATGAGCCTAGAAACAAGAATTTTCTGATTTGGTGTCTTTTCAGATTTGATTTTGCAATTCTCTCATTTTAAAGGATTTTTGCTAGGCCATTATACAATTTGCTACTGGGTTCCTTTTCCATCTGTTCAAAGCTCAGCTTCATGGTGGCACACAGTTGTGCTGTGGTTGTGCTGCCAGCAGCTTTGAACGTGGTGGCCATTCCTCAGTTCAGTGAAAAGCTCAAAGAACAGTAAAGCTTTTAAAGGTTCCTAAGGGATCTCTGAAACCACAAAGCCAGTGGATAGAGACCTTGCTGTACACTGCCCAAGAAACAGGATGTAGCAGGCTCAAACCATATAGTAGCCATGAGGAAAAAAACCCACAATCATGTAGAAACTAATTATCCAAATACTAAATCCATGAGGGACCTGGTTTCCTTAGGTCTGCTGTTGATGGAGCTCTTTGCATGGCAGAGGAAATGAAATTGCTTACAAAGTAGAAACTAAATGAGTGGAAAAAATTTCTGGATTGCCTGCAACGATTTGTCAGTAGTGTAAGGCAGACAAAGGTTAAACATTAATTCCTATCTATCTCTTCTGGACTTTTTTTTCACTTGCCCGGTGCTAATTCAGTGTAGCAGTCTGGAGGGTGGGGTGGCACACGCAGTGCTGAGGGCAAGAGGTGCTTTTGGGTGAGGATACAGCGTGGAACATCCACCTTTGTGGGATACCCTGCCAGGCCAGGGCTGCTGGTGCCAGGTAGGCCAAGTGCCACTGAGCTGCTGGTTTGTGCTCTGCCTCAGGCAAGATGCTGCTCACAGCAGGAGGGTTTGGCCTTGGCAGCCTGGGCTGCTGCCTGGGTGAGATCTCCTGGTGCAGCCAGGCCCCTTCTGTACAGTGGTGTCTGGACAGATGAGGAGGTGATGACTGAGCCTGTGCTATAACCCCTGCCCTGGGTTTCTCCAAGCCCGTCACTCATGAGTCACTGTTTGTTTATTTACTGAGCACACACAAATCATATCAATACAGAGTGAGGCTGTTACAGACACTGCTGTTTGGACATCAGGCTGTTTGCAGAGCAGAGGCAGAGTAGTTGCACAACCTCTGTAAGTGGTCGCCCATTCCTAAGAAAACCAGTCAGATAACTCTATTTGACCAATTACTTTAGCCCAATGACCAGACTCTCTGCTTGCTTTTACTGTGTAAGGGGTTTGATTTTCCTGCTGCAAATGTGTGAGCTTGTATCATCTTTCCACCTCCCCTACTGCATAAAAGCATTAAGTCAAAACCTGTAAGAGCATCACATCCATATGGCTGCATTTCACTTGGGAAGGGGCTGTATAAAAGGTATGAGTAACTTAATTTAATGTGGTTACTTGTGATTTTAATTTTTAATGCTAGAGCTTCCTCTCCACGGCCTAAGCCCCAAGCCCCATTAGGAGTGCTGGTATCACCAGCAGAGCAGTGACCAAGGCTCAGCTTTGGGTGCAGTGTTTAGTGCTGCACACGGATATATTCACCTGTGTAAGAGCTTATGGTGGGGTTGTCACCAGGAACCTTTCTAAATATGACATCTGAAGGTAAGATGCAGGTGTTTCTTTATAGCAGCAAGAAATTGTTCTTGTAACCATGCAAGAAATATATATATACATACAGCAGTTAGAATAAAGTGAGGCTTTGCTGTTTGGCTGAAGTTGTAGGATCACAGCAACCCATTTCAGATGTTGAAGAAAATCTGCTTTAGCACAGTCCTCAGCTTAGATAACAGGCCATGGGTAGGTGCTAGTTGTTGAGCTAGCTTAAGAGAGCTGGGAATCTCTGTTTATAATTAATGTAAATAAGTCATGATGGAAAATTGTCATCCTCCTCTTCTTTGAGTCGTTTTTATCCATGACACCAATGATTGCAACATCAGTGTGAGTAATCCCAGGCATGGGATTTATCCAAGGCTCTGTTTCATCCAAGGTTTGACTGTTTGTTTGCAGTGTTGTAATACTTTACAAACAAGGAGCAGAGCAGCCCTGTGCGGGGGTGTCTGCCCTCTTTGGGGATGGTGACCTGTCTTCTTCTCATGCTCACAAGAAACAGAAGGAGGAACTAAACACATGAGACACTTTAAGAAACGAGCCTGTAAAATCCCAAACCACCAGGCAAGGCTTTGTTTCGCTCAAACATTGAGCCCTGAATACTTCAGTCTTGGCTGACTACATGTGACAAGCGAGTCAGACCAAATGTCCATCCAGCTAGTAGCAGACAGTAAGGGAAGAGGCTGGTTTGCCCCGTGCTCTTGGCAATGCCCTGAGCCAGAGGATACAGCCCAGGAGTAAAAAAAAATAAGTGTTAAGTGTTAAAAGAATAAAAGTGCTGGTGAACCCATTCTGCCTTGATCTAACCCTTTTATGAACTTGACTAGTTTGGATTCGGAACCTGGCAATGAGTTACACAGCTCTGTGTCATCTGGAAATTAACTTCCTTCTAAGAAAACAGATTTTGTGTTCAATGTCAGCTGCTCTCTCCTGCCCTCTAGAATACCATATCACCCTCTCATAAAACTTGCTGGTCTTTACTCTCAGGGTTTGAAAGGGATACGGTTTTGCTTTGGCCAAGTATCCTGTAATGTCAACAGCTTGCATTTCTGGCATCTTTTGTCATGGTGTGAGTGTTTATGGCAACTATGTTGTGCTAGAGGGTTTTTTCCTTGAAGGTCAGGGTAGTTGCAGATGAAATAGCCTGTCCCTCCCTGTGCCAGCCCTGTGCTGTACCTCTGCAGTTTCTAATAAATGTTTGCTGATTAGAATAATTACCCTTGGAGTAACCCTAATTGTTCAAAAAGTTACTTACCAAGTCAGGTCCTGCCCCTCTGCCTTATAGTTAGGAGCCCTTTTGGTGGACCTAGGTTTGCAAGGAGGACCATTTTGCATAACTAGGAAAACAAAACTGTACACTCTAGGCATGAAGTTTTCCTACCGCCTGAAATCGGACACTCTCTTCAGGTGAATACAAAATACTGAAAGATGTGTAATAAAAAATAACAGGAGTTGGAAGCAACTGGCCTGACACCTCAGCTCTAATTATAACAGTGTTCAGCCACTGCCTGCACTTGGCAGAGGTACTGGCTTCTGTGAACAAGTCACCCAGCTTGAACCATGCTTGGCCATTCTCCAGGTTTAGTGTGGCATTTTTCTGGGCAGGCAGCACCTTTATCATGCTGGTTCTCCAGGGAAGTCCCTCACAGAGAAGAAATTTCAGTGGATCACTTCCTCATTCTGCTCTTCTGCTTCTACTTTCTCAGGCTAAAAGTTACCAGGAGCTTTTCAGCTGGGCAGTAGCCATGTGGCCCCTGAACTGGCATAAGCATGAATGCAGCTGTGGCAGAGGCTGTGGAGCTTGCTCTCATCAGTGGAAGGTCTGGTCCTTCTGTGCAGTGGTGGTTACTCAAGGAACCAGGCAACCCCTGAGGAGTAGCTGACTGTGACATTCCCCCTGTTCTCCTCCTGGCTGCTTGGAGCATCCTGAAGCCCAGCAGGTATTTTCCACTCAGCTGTGGTAGCAGGCTGTGTAGATAAATAGCTACATATTCAGCAGGCTGAGCAGAAGGGCCTGTGTGTGTCTCCATTTAGACTGGTCTGGACTTTGTCATGTTTTGCCTCCCCTTCCCAGATGTTTCCTTCTGCACTTCAATAAGGCGGGGTATGGCATCACTTTTGGTTTTGTCTTTGGAAGAGTAAACAAAACAGAAGGCCAAAAGCTAGCTACTTAAAACACATTCCTCTGCTGTGACTGGGGAAAAATCTCGACTTCAGATACAGGCATCCACTGTTTGCATTGCTCATTCTCCTGGCAGGGGTTATGGCTTTGTCTGCCTCACTTGGTTGAAGCCTAACCTTTCTGATGTTTCCATTTTTGAAATGCCTGATATGCTGTTTGTTCTTCCCATGGATCCTGGGTTTCAGCTGCTTCTCACAACTCTGGGAGATGATAAAAAGAGATCTCATACAATGGGTCAAGGTACAGTTCTAGACAGGAATGTGCTTGGTCTTGACAGGGCTTGGTTTATCTGTCAGGCTCATTGCAGGCCTGGCATTGAGCTGAAAGGCAGAGACAGAGGAATGTGTCTGCTCTCCAAGAGGGAGTAAACCTGACCAAGAAATGCAGGGCTGGGTGACTTGCAGTGGGACATAAATTCTTCTGAGAAGGCCTAAGGTGCTGCAGGAGACAGTGGCTTCTACATCTCAGGATGACTCCAAGCAGCACATCTGAAACTCATTGAAGCTGTAGCACCTCCCTTTTTTTTTTTTTACTTGTCCATCTTCCTGTGACAACCAGCTGCTTTCTTCCCCTTTCTGTTTTCACAGGAGAAAAAACAGAACAAGTTGCTTCCTGAAGGTGGAGTTGGGAGAGATGGCTGTGATCACTGGGCCCTGCCCCTTCACTCCAAAGGGTTTGTCCTGCTGCCAGGAACTGCATGTTGCTGTTCCTTGGTGTCTGTGAGTGCTTGGTGAGCTTCACCCTTGGAGCAAGCCTGAATTGCTGAGGATATTCAAGAGATAAAGTGAAATCCAGAAGCTGAATATAGGCACTTTATAAGGGTCGGGACATGTTAGGAACTACCCTGCTGGATCTGTGTTCGGAGTGGAGAATTCACATCCATTTGCAGAAGACTGAAGCTAGTCAGTGAGATATCCTCTGCTCCTCCCACTCCCCAGCACTTAATACAGTATTAAAGTCTGTTGCAGCAGTTTGAAGGACTCACACTTTCCTCTGTACAATGGTTTATATCTAATACAGTAATGTTTATGCTCTTCCCTCGTGCTGGTGGTGAATCTCCCTGTGTGACAAGCTCTTCATTCATTGGCATGACCATGGCAAGCCTGCTTTTAGCACTGTTTCCAAACTTAGCCAGTGCTTAGAACAGATTGTTAGAGAACAGCAAGCTGGCACTGCTAACAAGGTGAGCTCAGGGGTTGTTCTGGGCTCTCAGCTGTCTGCCGGGTCTCTGTCACCTCAGAAATAGCCTTCTCTGTTACAGAGATCCCAAAATGCTGCAGCCAACCTGCCTCACACTGGGCTGTAAGAGAGAGACAAGCAGGAGCTCAGACACTGGGTACCAAGTCAGGTCATTTGCACTGATTCTTCTGGCATGAAGAGGGTTTACTCCACACAAAGACTTGTTGCAATGTGTTTCAACAAGGGAAACACTTTTTCCTTGCTTGGCAGAAGTATTTGTAGCCACACTGAAAGGCTAGTTTGTTACCAGGGAGCTTGTAAGATGTTTGTCCACTTAATCACAAAAAGCTGCAGAGACCGTAAAGATGTTTCTGCAGGTGTCAGAGGGGCCAACTGGATGGGAAAAGCAACAAGAATCCCTCCCCATGCTGCTCCCATCTGCCAAGTCATGAGTGCCACCCTGCAATGTCATCACTGTGGGACATGGGCACCACGGTGGTGTTTGAGAATGTCCCGTGGGAACCCACAGTCAGCACCAGTTGGTACTGGTCGGCCTTTGGTTGTTATCTGGCAGGACAGAGCCTGGCTGGCCAGAGCAATGGCTGCAGAAGAAAGTTTGAGCCCAAATGAGAGAGGATGGTTTTAAAGGGAGGCATCAACAGCTAAAATCTCCTCCTCTTCCTCAGACAAGCTGAGGGAGTCCTCAGGTTCAGCTTCTCCGGCCTCTACTGAGTGGGATAGTCAAGCAGCTGTGGATGTTGCTGTAGGAGCAATGACAGCACTGACTGAAAGAGACATTCCTCCTTCTTCCAAGGGGAGCAGTGGCTAAACTGAAGATCTCTCCTTTCTCAAGCAGCTCTGGGAAATTTCTCACAGTGATGAGTTTCGTTCCATTTGGTGGGTTGGTGATGGATTCTTTGTTGCCATCAATAAAGAAATGTTCAAGGATGAGGTGCTCGCGAGAAGAGGACTTGGCAGAGCCTTTGAAATGGAGAGCATGAGCAGTTTTCTTCATCAACTTGACCTGTATGGGCTGTGCGAACTGCCATGTCCAGTTTGTCTAACTCCAGGGATGAATTTCCAGCAGAAGTAGCTGCTTCAGCTCCTACAAAGGTACATCAGTTCCTTTACACATGAACTGCTGGGAGAGACTGACGTTCATACCAAATAAGCCTCAGACATAAATGTCCTCACTTTCATTGCTTCTCAGGGCATTTCTCAGGTGAAAACCCCAGGGCTGGTTATCACTTAACAGAACCATATTGTAACATTTGGGAGAGCCTAAACTTGAAGTTTCATATGCCCCTAAAAGTCCTTTTCAATACCCAAGTTTGGCTTTTGTCTAAAACTAACAGTCTTTGTTCTCATGTATTTGTGTTTTTCAGGCTTGAACTAACTCTGCTCCTTTGCACTTTTTAGCTTCTATGAATCTGTTACAGCCCCAGCTTTAAGATGGGAGCATCCCCAGGTGCTGGAAAGGTACAAGCCAAGAGTGGGCCACAAAAGGAGGAGGGCCCCAGCTGCATCATGTCTGGATGAGAAGCTGGAGGAATGGCCAATGAGAGAAGCTTCAGTCCACCTGTAGCAAAAGAAAAGGGAGCTGATTCCCACAGAAACAACACCCCTTTCTACTCCAGATGCACTGGGGCAGCGGGCTGACACGGCTTCCCCTGGCCTGCCAGGACAGGGGGAAATCGTGCCCTGTGACACTGCCATACAAGTGATGGAGAAGGAACAGGACATCCAGCCTAGCAGGGACAGATGCAAGACCAAACGAGGCCCTCCTGTTTCCAATGAGAGCACAGGCAAGAACAGTCAATTCTTACCCCTCTGCTTTCCACAGAAACTTTGGGAAATGCTGGAAAGTGACCAGTTTCGGTCCATTTGGTGGAGCAATGGTGGAAAATGTGTTGCAATCAATGAAGAACTCTTCAAAGAGGAGGTGCTGGGCAGGGCAGGACCTCAACGGGTCTTTAACACGCAGAGAATTGAGAGTATTATTCGCCAGCTGAACAGCTATGGATTCACCAAAATGCAGCAGGATGACCAGAGATCTGCCTCCCTGCCTGAATTCCTGGCAGAGGAAGCACCAATTTCTGCTAACAGCCAGGTACAGCAGCTGCTCTGCACATTAACTAATGCTTATGGTAGTCTTGGGGGAGAGAGGGACCTTCACTGCAAATAGGGCCTCACCATAGAAGAGATGTAGGTGGGAATGAGAGGTCTGGTTTTCATTTTGTTCTCAGGCTGTGCTCAGGAAGGTTTGAGTTAGTCTTTCTGACTACTAGAAATGCAGATAAGACACAGTTTGGTGAGATCTGCTGAGTCTGAGCCCATTAGAGGGAAAGACAGACTCAGCATAACCTGATTTCTCCGAATGTCTTTGCTCTGTGTCTTGCTGTACCAAATCTGAAACCTTCCTGCAGCACCTGCTGAATGCCAAGCAGATGCATTTAAGGAGTACAGGGTTACCTGACTGCTCATGTCCGCACTGAAACTGCTGAAAAATAGTGGTATTTGGCTTTTGAAAGCAGTTGTTCTCCTTTTGAAAATCCTCCACTGCTCTGTCCCCAGAAGGCAAAACCCCAGTGGTGGCAATGAGTGAACACAATTTTCACCTAATGCTTTAGCCTGAGCTTTAGGTTCCATACAGCCCTCAGAGCCCTTTTCTGTATCCATGCTCTTCCTCTTTTGCAATTCAGAGTCCTAGCTCTTGTAGCTTGGGATTTTCCATCTTGGGAGGATGGCAACTAACTCTTCTCCTTTGCCTGTTTTAGATCCTCTATTACTATAACCCCTGCTTCAACAGAGCCCATCCCTGGCTGGTGGAAAGGTGCAGGAGGAGAGCTGCCCTCAAACGGAGAGCCCCGGGTGCAGCAGAGTTGGGTGAAAGGCCCCTTCAGAGGCCCAGAGGGTCAGTCTGTGGGAACATGCAGGTGTCTACTAAAGCCCACCCATGCCCACTGGCAGCTGCTCCCTTGCTTCCAGAGCCCGATGGAGCACAGTAGAGATATAAAGTCTAATATAATTAATTATAGATAAAGCCTAATATAGTTGGTAATAAACTGTTTGAACAATAAGCCTTTTCCAGTTGTCCTGCCCTATTCGAACAGTGGAAAATACTGCTCTTACGTAGTTCTGTGGCTTTATTGTTCCCACTTGTCCTTTAGTGGCCTTAGCAAGACAGATGTCCCAGCACAAGCATGTGGAAATGTTATGGTAGCACCAAGAGGTGCAGCAAAGGCTGAGCTCCTGTTGGCACTGGACAGAAGGGCAGCCAGATGCCTCTTCTCCCTGAGGATGAAATGCTGGAAGGGCAAATGACTTGTGCAAGGAAGCGACTGGTTTGGGTGATGGGCAGTGGGCTAAACTCACTCTCTGGTTCTGCCTGCCTCAAACTGGCTTGGAAATACTTCACTGCAGAAGGGACTGGCTTTGCTAACTACAGTCTGTTCACAGAGGGGAAAGTGCTGTGGGGGAAAAGGTCAGGGGTGTGCTACAGATTTAATGCTGGTTGGAACCACGGCTGCTCTGATGTTTTGCAAACAGAGGCATCTTTCCCTTCAGCATGTAAAGGTGGCAATGTAACAGATATTTAGGGTTGTTCTGCAGTCTGCCCTGGTCACATTGATCTGCCATTCTTCTCCACAGCGTGCAGGAATGGTATGTGGGAAGGAGAGCAGGCAGCCACCCTGGGTCTTCAGGAGGTGCAAGGCCCCTGGGACTGTAGAGCTTTAGAAGAAGGACCGGGCAGTTTTGTGCTTGTCTGAGCTGACCAAACTCAGTACTGTCAGCAGGAGTTTCTCTAGGAAGGTTGATGTCCCCCTCCCTACTCTGCTCTCAGCATGCCTGACTGTTCATCCTTTTAGCTCTTCCCATGTAACACCTTGCATGGAAATTCGATACCTGTCAGCAGGGGCAGACTGATACACTCCTCTGAGTGAGGACCTGGACTTGGGATATTTTGGAACAAAGACTCTTTCCATAAGATTATAGGCCTAAAAGTCAAGGCCAAACATGACCCAGCCCAGCGATAAACATTGATTGGAAAGCAGCCTAATGGAGAGAGATGGAAACTGAGGCAACTGGCACTGGTAATACTGATCTGGTTTGGTAGGTGGGTGGTGCTGGACTGTGCAGCATTACCTGCCCCAGCACCAGGGTCTGTGTGGCAATGCCCCTGCTGGGTGTGGATACCTCACACCTGGCCCACAAGTGGGGAATTCCATGTCCCAAAGGTCTCAGCTTCACTCCTGTGAACTCAGGTAGCATTTTCCTAGTACCACTCTCTTTGCACTTTGGGTTCTGGGTTGATGCAATCGTGAGTTCAGCGAAGCCTGAACTCCTCTCACCCCTGCAGGCACCAGCAGGGAAAGTTCAGGGACTGAAAGCAGCCACCTGCCCTTGATCAGCAAGATCAGCAGAGCTGGTGCCACTGGTACCAAAGAATTTAAAGGTGGGTTTGAGCTACATTCCTGTAACAGATTTTAGGATCTTATAATGGTTTAAGACACTAGAACCAATGTAAGTGGTCAACGAAACTCCCCCAGCCCTGTCAGCTGGTTCCTGTTGTTGCTGTGATCAGCTCCTGTCACTTTCCTTCCCTCTTTTCAAGGCTCTGATAACAAGCACCTGGGGCACCCAGGTAACCTTTGGCTGAGCTTCCTATTTAAACTCCCATGGCTTTTGCTTCATTGCCTGGTTGTTACGCAGCAGTAAAGATGTGTTCTGATAGCAGCAGAGGCTGCTCCCCTCCCCTTTCCCCTCTTAGGCAGGATCAAAGCTCTCTGAATTTGCTTGAACAAATTTGCATTTAGGTCAGTGAGAGACTTACTTGAGGGAAAGATTTTTCTTTCCCTGTCTTTTTCTTAACTCTGTAAGAAAGGATAATAAGCACAAAGGCAGGTGGGAGAAAAAAAACTGTGGTCTATAAATAATTGGGTTTGGCACACATGGGAGGACAAAGTCATTAGTAAGAGAGAAAATAGCTGATGTGGTAGCAAGCTACATCTTCAGTTGATGTAAAGCAGCCTCTCCCCATGGAAGCAATGGGACTATGTCACTGCCATCAGCTGAGCTGCTTGGTGGACCTGTTCCCCTCTGCAGTGCCCAACCTGTCTGCAGCTGCCTTCTTATGCAGCAGCAGTGAGGGAGGTTGAACAGCAAGTCTCTGGAGTACCAGTCTTCATTTTTTGGCTCCTTGTAGCTATGTGCTTAGGCTGCCTAAGTCCCTGCTGTGCTCTCAGGATGCAAAGTGGCAATAACAGGGTGGCTGTCACATCCCAGACAGTCATTTTGACATGTGCCAAAGCATTGCAGGGTTGGTTGCTCAAGGTTCCTGCTTCCATCTCTAGTGTGCATTGGGATGGGACACAAAACAGCTGTGGAAGACCCTGCTGGGATCGTGGTGGTCATGGGGATAGGATGACCTTGTTCTGGGAGTGCTGCTAGCAACTGGGAGACCTGGGAGTAGTTGCTGGTTCCATCTTAGCTTGTGCACATTGCCTTGACCAATTCCACATCTTTTGGGGCTTTCTCTGTAGATGGTAAAAACTTCTTCCCTCCGCTGGTCTTGTTGAGCCCCTCAGCTTTTTCAAATCTCATACATTGCCCCTCAGTTGGAATGTTCTCCAAACTGCACAGGTATGTGTAGAGACTGACGTGCCCAGCAGTTTAAGTATTAACAGGACACGTGAGAACTGGGGTTTGCAATACAGAAGTGGTAAACATTCAGTTTGGTTGCTAAACTTAGACCCACTCACCCTAGTGAGAAGTTCACAGCTTTCTGGATTGGGCTCAAAGTCAAAGGTTAATTGTAATTTCATGGAAGAATGACTCACCTGAATTCTGGGTGGGTCTGATGCTCTGCAAGAGCTTTGCTGCTTTGCAGCGTGCAGGGACCACAGCCCTGGCAGGGCTGGCAATGCAAAGCTCTGTCGATGTGACAGAGGTGGCAGATCTTGGGCTTCTGGTCTCTTCCTGATTCACGGTGATACAAATAAAGGCCAGGGAAAATAACAGATAAAACCCGCTGGGAAATACCAGATAATGTCTAGGTCGCAAGCTGTGAAGTGGCATTTTAAAGAGGCGAGCTCAGCGCTTTTTCCGCCCAGAATTATGGTAGTCCTCACAGAGAAGCTGACCGGTTTGGCCTGATTCATCTTTAATGAAACCATGTTGCATTTTATCCCATTTTCCTGCTCATTTCTCCCTCTTCAGCGAGCGGACGCTGCCGGAAGCCCCCGCCTGCCCCCCGGTGGCCACCTGAGGGACGGCAGGAGTCCCTCCAGCCGGGGTGACACCGCGGGGACAGCACAGGGCCCGAGGTCCTTCTCCCTGCCCACACCCCGGGCAGATAATGCCACAAAGATGTTTAAATGGCTGAATTGGGCTATCCAAGACCCCACCGCCTCCACCACTGGACCCGATGTGTGCCCATTGTTCCTGAGGGCCCTTTTTTCCCCCCCAAGACCTTGGCATGAATATTCTTTAATTGTTTTTCTTTTGACATGTGTCCTGGACTGCCACAGGTGGGAATGACTTGCCAATGGGCTGCTGTCACCTCTGGTTGTTGGTGTTGAGCAGTGGCACCCCAGGGCTGATGACTTGGTAAGAAGTGGCCATCCATGGCTATCAGTGTATTATCTAGAAGGTGGGTTGGGGGTTTTTGGGTGGTGGAATCCTTCAATTGAAGGAAACATTCCCACTTCATGTTTTTATCAGTGGGAGTGCAATCACATGTTTCTGGTTTTCTGTTGCTCTAAAATGGATTGTAAAAGGCTTCCTTAGTGCCTTAGGCATATTTAGAATCATTTATGTGTTCTTTTTTATTTCCTTGCAGAGAAAGAAAAGCTAATACTCAAATGCCAAAGCATTTAATGGGGAACAGCTCAGGCAATGCTGGAAACTGCTTCAAATTTCTAGATCCAAAATCCATAGCTATGTGGGCAGAAAGGCCATGTCTGAGGGAGGAATGTTTTTTTCAGACACAGTAACTCAAAGGGCAGGGGGAATGCAGAGCTTCTCAGGCACAAACACCCTTGAATCAGACAACTGACTATGGCAGGAGGACAGTGCAGCAGGGAGAAGGATGGATGGCTTCCCTGCAAAGAGCAGTTCATGGGATTGTGTTCATGGCTTTATGAACAAAGCAGGAGTGATTCAGAAAAAGGGAACCCAAGGATGCCTGAGTGAGGGCTTGGGCTTTGCTCCCCCAGCCCCTGATTGCTGGGCCATTCACGGCTGGAGAAGATGACACTGCTTTTGGGTCTCCTTCCAGAAACACAGTATGTCCCCTGTTCCATCTCTCCCAGGTGGTTTTAAATCCACTAGTTCAAAATAGAAAAGGGCAATCCCTTTCGAGCAGTTTGCAAGGACAGTGGGTTGACATCAGGGAATACCTGCTGCTTTGGGGCAGGGGATGTCAGGAAAAGGATTGTCCCTACTGGACCTACTGCTTCTGCATTGCGGTGCCCGAGGGAGAAGGATTAAGGACAAACCTGCAGGTATCAGAGAGGCCCAGCTGGAAAGCTTCCCAAAAGGGGCACTGGGATGCCCAAGGCTGCAGCCACCCCTGCTCCTCCCTGGGGACCCACTGCTGGGTGCAGCCTCTCGTTCAGCACAGCTCTGTGGACTGCTGGGCTCTGCAGTCCCACCACCACCGGTGCCTCTGGCAGGGAGAAGCAACAAGTGCCCTCCAGCAGCTTCTCCTCAGGCTGCTCCCCTCTGCCAGGGCACCACTGCCAACCATCACTGAGATGTCACCTGCGATGTCCCCACTCCACAGCACGGACACCACAGTGACATGTCAGAACATTCCACTGGAACCCGCAGTCCACTGGTGCCAGCTGGCCTTTGCCTTCTGACTGGCAGGACACGGGCGAGCTGTCCAGGGACACGGCCATGGAGGGAGAGTTCTCCTCCCTTCGCTTTCCACAGAAACTTTGGAAAATGCTGGAAAGTAGCAGGTTTCTGTCAATTTGGTGGAGCGAGGGTGGAAAATGTGTGGCCATTAACAAAGATCTTTTCGAAAAGGAGGTGCTGGGCAGGGCAGGCCCTCAGCGGCTTTTTGACACACAAAAAATGAAAAGTTTCATGCGACAGCTGAACGTGTACGGATTCACCGAAACAAAACGGGATGACCAGAGATCTGCCTCCCTGCCTGAATTTCTGGCAGAGGAAGCAGCAGTTTCTGCTCACAGCCAGGTACAGCAGCTGCTCTGCACATCAACTAATGCTTGGAATAGTCTTGGGGGAGAGAGGGACCTGCCCAGAAGGACCTTATTAGGTCTCATCATAGAGGGCTGTTTGTGGGTGGAGGAACCACTTCTTACAAGGGGTCGCATAAAAAGGAGGGCAGAGGGTGACAGGACAAGGGACAGTGGTTTTATACTGAATGAGAACAGATTTAGACTGGATGTTAAGAAGAAATGCTTTACTGGGACGGTGGTGAGGCACTGGAACTTGTTGCTGAGAGAGATTGTAGATGCCCCATTCCTGGAAGTGTTCAAGGCCTGGCTGGCTGGGTCCCTGAGCAACCCAATCTATTGAATGGCATCCCTGCCCAAGGCAGGAGGGTTGGAACAAGGTGATCTTGAAGGTCCCTTCCAACAAAAACCATTTTGCGATTCTGTGATGGAGGAGATGGAGGTGGGAGAGGTCTGGTTTTCATTTTGTTCTCAGGCTGTGCTCAGGCAGGTTTGAGTTAGTCTTTCTGACTACTGGAAATGCAGATAAGACACAGTTTGGTGAGATCTGCTGGGTCTGAGCCCATTAGAGGGAAAGACAGACTCAGCATAACCTGATTTCTCCAAATGTCTTTGCTCTGTGTCTTGCTGTACCAAATCTGAAACCTTCCTGCAGCACCTGCTGAATGCCAAGCAGATGCATTTAAGGAGTACAGGGTTACCTGACTGCTCATGTCCACACTGAAGCTGCTGAAAACTAGTGGTATTTGGCTTTTGAAAGCAGTTGTTCTCCTTTTGAAAATCCTCCACTGCTCTGTCCCCAGAGGGCAAAACCCCAGGGGTGGCAATGAGTGAACACAATTTTCACCTAATGCTTTAGCCTGAGCTTTAGGTTCCATACAGCCCTCAGAGCCCTCTTCTGTGTCCATGCTCCTCCTCTTTTGCAATTCAGAGTCCTAGTTCTTGTAGCTTGGGGTTTTCCATCTTGGCAGGATGGCAACTAACTCTTCTCCTTTGCCTGTTTTAGATCCTCTACTACTATAACCCCTGCTTCAACAGAGCACATCCTTGGCTGGTGGAAAGGTGCAGGAGGAGAGCTGCCCTCAAACGGAGAGCCCCGGGTGAAGCAGAGACGGATGGAAGACCCTTCAGAGGCCCAGACAGTCAGCCTGGGCAGTGAGGGCAAGCAGGGCTGGGCTTCACAGAGGAATCTTTCACCCGTGAGGACTGCACTGACCAAGGGATGGGCTGAAGCACCTCCCAGCACCTGCAGCCCCAACCCTGCGGTTGGGCCCCAGACGTGGCACATCCCGGAGATCGCAGAGCCGGCAGACAGCAGATAATTTCTAATTAAAAGCGTTATTACTAAATAGAGCCGAATAGAGTTGGAATAAAAAGATTTTAGTTGAGCTGGTATTAAACCGTTGGAAGAACAACCCTTCCCAGTTGTCCTCTGCCCTTTGCACGACCCCGGGGTGAGACCCCATCTGACCACCCACAGACCCAGCAGAGGCAGCTCATCTGCCACCAGCTGAGCCACTTATTGGAAGAGCCCATCCCGGGATCAGAGCCTTAGAGAGCACAGGTGTGTGTTACTCCACTGGCCGAAACCCAGGAATCTTCTCCACCAGGCTCTGGACCCACCCGATCCCGAGAGCAGGAGTCGGGCAGAGGACTCCGGCGGTTGGGCACTGCAACAGGCACCAGGCACCAAGCCTGCCCAGAGTAACCGATGTAACAGCGCGGAGAAGAGCTGAGCTTTCCCTAATCGCCGCCGAGCACCCCTGACGGGGCCGGCCTGTGCTAGAGTGGAAGCGGCTTTCACGGCAAGGGCTTGTTTTAGCGCCGGAGGAGCTCGGGGACGGCACTCCCGGAGCCGCCATGCGCGGCCCCTCACGGCCGGGCCCCGCCCCCCGCCGTGGCGGGGCCGTTTGCTAGGGGCGCGCGCGGCGCGGGAAGCGAACGGCGGCCGCGGGGCGTCATTGCGCCGCCGTGTGCCTGGTGAGGGGCGGCCGGGCCGGAGCGCGGCCCGGCACGGGCACGGCGGGGGGCTCGGGGGCGGTGCGAAGGGGTCCCCCGGTGTGTCGGTGGGGGGCGGCCCTTGGGCCGTTGTGGTCGCAGCCGGGGGGGTTGGAAGGCAGGGCTGGTGCCGGCCCAGGGGTGTTTTGTGCTGTGCGGGGTGTGGGGCAGCGGTGGCGGTGAGAGGGCAGGTGCTGGGGTTGGGAGGGGGGTTAGTGCTGATGGGGTGGACTGTGGGTGGGCTGTGCAGGTGGGGCTGGGGGCAGGGGGTTTGGGGGAGCTCGTGGCTGCCAGGGCCCGGGGTGTCGGGGGATGTGGCAAGCTGGGGCTGAGCTGTGCCTGGGTGTAGGGGCACCTCTAGGCTGTTGGGGGGGCTCTGGATCTGGGGGGCGCTGGTGCTGGGTGTTGTGGGGGGAAGTCAGCCCTGTTCTGGGGCTGGGCTCTGGTTTGAGCAGGCTGGGGTTGTGGTCAAGTCCTGAAGGGCAGAAGGCTGTGGTGGGCACTGCCAGGAGGTCAGAGGCTGTGTGTGTGTGAGAGAGAGCAGGGGTTGAAGCCTGATGAGCCTGTCCTGGTGTCTGGGCGATTTTCAGGTGTTAAAAGCTCTTGTAATGGTTCTCTCGGGGTTTTTGTTTGTTTTTCTGCCTGGCCTCGGGCTTTGTTTGGCCTTTGCAGCAAGGTGCTGTGTAGGGGCATGCTGTGTTCCCCAAATGTAGGGGATGGGTAGCTGGTCAGTCTGTTTTGCTGCAGTTCTGATCCCTCCTGCCTGTTTCAACAGGTGTGGTAAATCTTGCAAATTTGCCTCTTCTGTACAAATAGTGGCCTCTTTGCTACACCTGAGCTGGGATGAGCAGCTATCAGAGCAAAGATGAGCTTGACTGCCTGCTCAGGTGGTATGGACCTGGCTTGTCTGTCTATAGTCAGCTTTGGGGTCTCTATACCAACATCATAAAAATGCATGAGGGATTTGTGCAAAGTCACCTAAGATCCAAGCTAATAACAGCTTGGATAATTTGCCTCTTTTAAAGTTTGTGATACATGTGAAATTTGTGTTTTGTGTTGTGCAGTGTTCTTGTCTCTGCCTGGCTTTTGTGGGGTGAATATGTGGTTTGGCTCACCTGTTGTAGAAATAAAATAGTTTTATTGTGCCAAGATGGTTCTTAATCTATGGTGTCTGAACACTGTTGTCTTCTAGGAAGATCCAACCCTGGAGAGACACTTCAAAGGCCACAGAGATGCTGTCACTAGCGTGGACTTCAGTCTCAATAAGAAACAATTGGGTAAATAGTCTGTGTTTTGGTGGCCAGATGGTAAAGAAAGAGCTTCTCTGCTCTATTTAGATGGAGAGAGGAGTGGAGGTACTGAGCTCTGCAACAACAAAAGGTCCTGCTGGCCCTTCCTGCTAACAGTAGACTGAGCACTGCTCTAGTCACCTTGCAAGCTTGTGTTTCTCATATGTTGCTAAGAACTGCTGAGCTGACTTTGATCAGCGTTTTCAGAAGGGAGAGATGCTGGAGGGAGATGTAGCCAGGTTGTCTTTATGTCACCAACTCACTGCTCTCTGTAATCTGTGGTGTGTTACTTGATATTTAACCTGCTGCAGCTGACACCTGCCTCTGCTTCCCATTGAGAAAGTGATGAGATAACCTTCATTCACAGGCCTTCTGTGTATTCCATGAGTGTGTATTTAACTGGAAGAAGCTTTACAAACCTGTGTGGCTTTTGCCTCTGCAGCTGTTGCATGTCCAGGCTCTTGGAAGTGAATTGTCAGTCGGAGGCAATGCATGGCTGGCCTTGTTTTGTTTGAATTGCTAATGAAATACACAGTGTGCAATACACTGGTGAAGCTTCAAGGAGGGTGTACCTGAGACTGCTGGAAGCAGGGTAGTGAACTGAGTGTGAAATGTAGGTTCAGTGTAATTGGAGGAGAACTAAGGCAAGTTTGGTTTTGTTTTTCCTTTTTTATTTCAGCAAGTGGCTCGATGGATTCGTGCCTGATGATCTGGAGCATGAAACCTCAGATGAGAGCCTATCGCTTCGTGGGCCACAAAGATGCAGTGATGTGTGTCCAGTTTTCACCTTCTGGGCACCTGGTGGCTTCAGGCTCCAGAGACAAAACAGTCCGGTTGTGGATCCCTAGTCTGTGAGCACCTGTTCCCTCCTGTCTCTCTTTGTGTTTTAACCATGGCTTGGGATTTCTCCTTGCTTCTTGGTAGCAGTTCTCCAGCTATGGGACCGGGATCTGTTTGAGGGAAAATAGAACCACTTGATGTGAGGCCTCTGACAGAGGAGAGATAATTTGGTCTTGAAATTGTGTGGAAAACAAAACCAAAATCCTTTGCATAGATTAAAATCCATTGTAGTTTCTTATGCTAATGTAACAAGCCGCTGATGTAACTTATCAGTGGTGAGCTGTTGGATTTTTCTTACTTAACACTTCCTGAAATAAACATAAACAGGAGAGTGCTGAAGGACTTGTGCTTGAAGACCTAATCTTGCTGCAGGGAATGAGAAGCATTTTGTGGCCAAGATGCAGAAAATCACCTGCCAATGTTTCCTCTGATCTCTTGTTTCCCACAGTAACAGTGGAGTTGTTTCTCTGAATGGACAGGGATATGAATAGGGGTTGGAGATTCTTTTGCTTGTGAGCTTGTAAATTGCAACTGTCAGAAGACTGAAGGAAAAAAGCAGACCTGATGATTGTGGTGGCAGATAAAAGGCATTTAAAAAACAAACAAAAAACCCCCAACGAAACTCAAACCTAACAAAGCCACACAAAATGTATACCCAAACTTTAAAATAAACAGGTTGCTTCAGGAACCTGGGAAAGCATTGTTTGTTTTTGATGGGTTCTTACGTTATGATTACACATTGGAAACTTTATTTGTTCTATTAAATCTAAGTAATCTCTGTCATGGAACTGATGTGTTCTGAAAGTGACTTTTTAAAATTCATGATAAAAGTGCTTTTAAATATCTTAATTATAATGGAAATTACAATCTGCAAATTTTAGTTCTACTTCACTATAAATTATTTTTTAAATTTACTTATTTTAGTTCAACTTTCCTATAAGGAATGATCACAAGGACATACTGGCATGTATGTTATTAAAAGGCACAAGGTGGATTAGGATTAAAATTTAACCTTGCTGCTCATCAATCCCCTACAAAGACAGAGACTGACACTGTCGTTTTGCTGTCTCCAGAGCTGATAACACAGAATATTTAAAATAAATTACAGCACAAACTTGTTAGAGTTCTCAGAAGCTAAGGTATATATTTTTAGAAAGGACTGAGATGTGATGGGAAAACTGAATGTGTGCTTGGGTGATTCTCTCCTGGTTGCTTAGCCATGTGAACTCTGAGGTCAAAACTGTACCTTTGGCTGTCAAGTCATATCAGAAAAGGGCCACTGTGGAAAGGGAGTTATTGTTATGCCAGTTGTTGATACCTTGGTGCATGGCACCTGGAGTCTGTGTTTGTTTAATATTCTTTGTCAGTTTACCTTCTCCAAATATAACAACAGAATGGGGATGTTGAATCAGGTTTGAGACCTTCAAATTGACACTTCTGCACTGTCATTAAAAGGGGAGAGAGAACCTGCCCCATGGTCTGTGGGGTAGGACTTTATTTCCAAATAATCTCAAAATTTACAGTCCCTTATTACAAGGGCAATATGTTACTGAAGGAGCTAATGCTGCTGTGGCTTTCTGTCTTTGGGAGTTGTTTTTTATGGGCCACGATGACAGAATTTTATAATTTCATGTTTCTGCATGAGATTTCTTCAGAGTTGTGGATATTCTGTAGTTTTGCACAGAAAGAAAACTTTCTTGAGAAGTAACCTTTACACTTGCTTGCCTTGTGGCAGACAGAGGATTAAATAAAACTAGGCAGCTCTGACCTTTTCTGAAGAGGGAGGGAATATTGCTGCAAGGTGGGTAGTATTTTGATTTTTTGGCCTTTGTGGTTTTGGTAATCCTCAACCTCAGTATAGAGTTAAATCCTAATGGAGAAGGGAGTGAACCATCATGTTTTTCTCTTCTCTTCAATCTGTGAATATGGAGCTCCTGGTAGACTAAGAGTTCCATAAACCTGTTGGATCTCTAAATATGTTGCACTTTGTGTCTCTAAATATGCCTTGCATTTATTTGCCAGAAGAATGCCTCTTGCATTTATTTGCATTTATGTGTAAAGAAGAATAACAGTGCCCTGACTCTGTTCTTGCCTGGCTGAGTTAATAGTGGTTTGCTCACAGTTGTACAGCATCAGGTGTGCTGAATTTAGTTTTGTTATTTCTTGTGTGATGCTGCATTGGAATTGTCCACCTGGAGCTTGGGCCTTTACAGGAACAGTTGTGAGGTCATTGGTTGCTTG